CTACCGCTGAGCCACCTTCCCAGCCCGAGGATCACAGTTTGAAGCCACCTCAGGTAGAAAATTCCACTAGATTCCATTTCCAAAATAACCAGCAAACAGCAAAGTTGGAGACATGCATGGTTCAAACGGTAGAGCACCAGCAGAGCAAATAAGGCAAGCAAGTGTAAGGCCCTAAGTTCACATCCCTGTACCATCAAAAGCAGTGGCATTTCTGGCAGCAAAGTTTGGGGCATCTGGAAGAAAGAGCCAGAGAGCCTTATCAGTGAGGCCAGCGTGCTGTCTCTTCCAGCCCTGCCTGGCTGTCTCCCCTGCCTTTCAGCAGCTTCCGCTCTTTGTCCCAGGGATAAAGCCAGCAGGAGCCAGCTGATGGCATTTACTTTCTTTGTTCCATGAGCTCTGTGGTAAAAAAATTCGGATCATAAAGGGACTGATTACTCCTACTTTAAATCATGTTTTAAAGTTGAAGAAACTCCAGTGTCTCATCAGCGATCTGGATAACTCTGCTTCAAATTAGTATTTTGCCTTCAGATGGAAATCCAGTGAATCCTGGTGCTCAGTCTTAAGGGGAACATTGGAGAGTGTGGTTTTAGCTCTTTAATGTTGTCAGTGCAACGAAGTGCCATTTTATTGTAAATGTGGGTATAGGTGCACCATTTTCCGCTGTGGGACTCTGCTTTGCATGGCGTTTGGAAAGAAAGTAGACTCACCTCTGGAGACAGAGTTTTACAAGTGAGGACTCAGGAAGACAGAAGGACTATGTGCTCTTGGTCTCCTCTGTTCCTGTGTGTGTGAAAGGGTCCCTGGCATGCTGCCCTCCATGCAGGGGACCTGGCAAAAGCCAGGGTGTTGGAGGAAGTGCTGTGCAACACAAGCGTGGCAGAGTAGCCTGATTAAATAGCACATTCCAGTGAGAGCCAGGGGCCTTTGTCGTGAGTTTTGCAGGTTTTTATGGGGACCTCTCACCTAAGATCATTCACTTCAGCTTTATTTTGAGATTCCTGTGAATTCATGCTGCTCATCTAGTTTTTCTTCCCATTCATTTAGTCCTATTGTTAAAGATTTAAAAAAAGGGTTGAGAGAGATTCTACATAATTTCTTCTTGGAGAGACCCTACTGTGTGCCAGGCTCTGTTCTTAACAGAGCATTGACCAACACAGACAGCCCTTTATTCTCGGTGAACTAGCATCTTCACACTCTCTCCTCCCTCTCTTCCCCTTCTTTCCTTCCTTTTGTGCTAGTACTGGGGCTTGAACTTAGAGCCTCATGCACACTCAGATTGGCATTTTTGTTCCAGGCTGGAGCTCTATCACTTGAACCACACCTCTACTTCCCTCCACCCCCATTCTTTCTTCCCTGTTATTTTTACAGACAGAAGCTTTTGTCCTAGAAAGAAATCTTTAAAAAAAAAAATTCTTTTTTCCAGGTTAGTAATCTGTGAACAGGTCCTCACCACTGAAAATTTCAGGGTGTGCTATGCTGTGCATGGTGAGCCCTCGGAGTAACTTTTCTTTGTAAACAACTGTGGGTTACCCGGAAGCCTCCTGAAGATCAGCTCTCTGCCCACCCACTTTTTTTTCATTGTACCCAACTCCCCGGGAAGGGTGGGCGATTACACCACCAGGACTTCCAGGCAAAGCTGGGTTTGGTCTGAAGAGCTGTTTTGTGACATTTCGAATTGAAATGATTCCAAATCAGTGTGAGAAGATAGCCATGGCTCTCGCGTGCAGTTTTTCTCCTTTTCAATCACATTGTGTGTCCATTACCCAGAGTTCTTTATTTTGAAAGGATTTATGCTTGACCCCTCATAAGGACCACTTGAAAATATTACAGAAAGAAAAATAAAATCACAGTCCCAGTGTACTATTGAAAGAAGTGGCATGGAGAGTTGTGCTTGGCCCTAGATGCCCCTGGAGAGCCATTGGGAGAGAGTCCCCCTTGTATTAGAGGGGTGCCACAGAGGTTGAAATCTGCCTGCAATCCTGGACTGGCTGAGAGAGGCAGGGCCGCTGCCTCTGGGAAACCCTGAGACTGTTGGCAGGATATGGAGGAGAGACTGGGAGAACAATTGTAACCCTTCCCCAGGAGGATTTCCCTGCCTTAAAGAAAACCAAAAGCTTTCCACCTAATCTAACAAACATAGGCATTGGTGGGGCGCTGGTAGCTCACATCTGTAATCCTAGCTACTCAGGCTGAGACTTAAGGATCATGGTTCAAAGCCAGCCTGGGCAGGAAAGTCTGTGAGACTCTTTTTTTTTTTTTTGCGGGGGGAGGGCCCGGTCATGGGGCCTGAACTCTGGACTTGGGCACTGTCCCTCAGCTCTTCAGCTCAAGGCTAGCGCTCTACCACTTGAGCCACAGCACCACTTCTGGCTTTTTTCTTTTTACTTATGTGATGCTGAGGAATCGAACCCAGGGCCTCATGCATGCAAGGCAAGCACTCTACCACTGAGCCACCTTCCCAGCCCCTCTGTGAGACTCTTATCTCCAGTAAACCACCAGAAAACCGGAAGTGGCACTGTGGCTTAAGTGGTAGAGCACTAGCTTTGAGCTGAAGAGCTCCGGGGTAGTGCCCAGGCCCAGAATTCAAGCCCCAAGACCAACCAAAAAAAAAGCATTGCTTAGCCAATCAAGTACTTAGTTTCTGTGAGAATAAATGAAGGGGTCAGTCTGATTAAAGTATGGTATACACTTATATGAAATACCCTGGCAAGACCTCTTTGAAAGTTTAGCAGTACTTAAGAAATAAATAGCAAATGGGCTGGCAAGTTGGCTCAGTGGTAGAGCGCTTGCCTTGCATGCCTGAGGCCCTGGGTTCGATTCCTCAGCACCACATAAACAAAAAGAAAAAAAGCCGGAAGTGGCGCTGTGGCTCAAGTGGTAGAGTGCTAGCCTTGAGCTGAAGAACTGAGGGACAGCGCCCAGGCCAGAGTTCAGGCCCCACGACTGGACCCAAAAAAAAAAAAGAAAGAAATAGCAAGAGTTTACGACAGTCCCTGTCTGGGGCATGGGTACTAATTAGAGGAGGTAGGGTGAATGGCCAGGGTGGAGGGTGAATATGGTTAAAATGTTTTACTCCATGTGTACACTGACACAGTGAAGCCTGTTGAGATTGGTGTAGAAAGCAGGAAGCAGGTAAAGGAAGAGCTAGAGGGAGTGAGTCTAATCAGGTTTCATTGCATACATATATAGAAAGGGTAAAATAAAAGATCCTGGTAAGCCAGGCGCTGGTGACTCAAGCCTGTAATCCTAGCTACTCAGGAGGCTGAGATCTGAGGATCATGGTTCAAAGCCAGCCTGGGCAGGAAAGTCCGTGAGACTCTTATCTCCAGTTAACCACTTAGAAAACCGGAAATGGTGCTGTAGCTCAAGTGTTAGAGCGCTTGTCTTGAGCTGAAGAGCACAGAAACAGCACCCAAGCCCAGAGTTCAAGTCCCACGACCCTCCAAAAAAAAAATCCTGAGTAACTAATTGATGCAAAATAAAAAATGGGGGCGGGGAGAAAACAAAATGTTCACTGCTGATTACTGGAATGTTTTGTGATTAATAGATAATCCCCAAGTGCCTTTATTGATGTTAAAAAAATCGATAGTGTTTTGGCCCAATTGGGTTGTCTGTTGCCCTTTGTTTTAGGCACTCCCCTGATTGGTTCTATTAGGTTTTAATCAGAACCATCTTGTGAAACATTTTGGATTCAACTTAGAGTTTAAAACAAACACAGCTCTTCAAGAACACAGATGAAACCCAAAACGGATCGGAAAGTAAACAAGAAATAATGAGTAGCTTTCTGGACAGGATATTGACAGGGGAGAGGAACAGAGAAAAACTATGAAAGCAAGACCTTCAGAGGCACCCAGAGAGGGTATCAGGCAGCCAGTTGACTAGTACTACATCAGAATTGGTGGCGGGGGTCTTCCTTCTAATCAACCTGCTGATTAATTGATCAATTATGGAGTTCAGGTCAATGATTATTAGTAGTGTCACCCATTCTGGACATTGTCGTATGGGCACAGGCAATTCACTGTATACCAAAGATACCCTCAACAACTGACTGTAGCTTCCCCAACCCTGTCCTCTTCCTGCCCTTTCCTCACACCTTCTGAGAGTTGTCTTGGCTCCCACTAGTGCGTTTGTACGTCAGAGTGTGCAAGGTGACAAGCATCAGGATGTGTTGGTGATGTAGAACCACCAGGAATACCACTCCTGTTGTGCCCTAGACATTCCAGACGCCTGGCCCCAGCTTGGAAAACATTCGGACTGAATTGCTGAATGCTTCCTCCAGCTGTCACTCCTCAATCTACTGATCTGATAAAGGAAATGCACGTGCATGCTAACATGGACACAGAGCATAGAAAAGCTGCAGAAGCAAATGCTCTCCAGCCCTGGCCTCTGGGCCCTCTCTTGTCAGAGGCTGCTTGTTTTTCTGTTTTTCCTGTACCTTTGCAGAGCTGTCCAGTGTTCCTTGCTGCTTACATGTGAAAAGTTACATATAACTGTCTACCTTTATCCCAAGCTAACTACCTGTATTTACTTCCCCACCCCCCATTTAGATTTTGACTTCTCTCAGATTTGGACCAACAACTGTGAGCAGAATCGGTCGGAGACGGTCCCTGCTGACTGCACCGGCTGTGCTCACCAGTTGCCCCTCAAGGTGGTACTTGTGGAAGATGTCCCGAAGAACTTTGATGGCCTCCATCCTCTGGTTATCAAGGTGAGCAGAGGCCTGCTTCTCTCCAGGCTGGCTCCCATTCCAGGGCTGGATCAAGACCCCCAAAATTTACTGTCATAAACTTGTTCTTGTTTCCCTTCCTCCTTGCCAAGACGGGCCAGCCTGTGATGTCTGAGGAGATGCAGCACTTCCTGTGCCAGTACCCCGAGGCGACAGAAGGCTTCACGGAAGGGGTTTTCGCCAAGTGGTGGCGTTGTTTTCCTGAGCGGTGGTTCCCATTCCCTTACCCATGGTGAGTATGAACACGCTAAGCTTGTGTGTAGGAAAGGCGTAGGCTACGTGTCCAAGCAGCAAGAGCCACCAATTCCCTTTGGTGAGGCACCTACCAGCACCCAGTAGGCATCTGCTAGCTTCCAGTTATGAGAGAAGAGCTCACAGATGAAGCAGCTGCCCTCCAGCAAGACAAGGAAGGCCCGCTTCCATGCAGAATCCTTTCAGAGGACTAAAATTGCTTTTTCAGATATTTTGTTGGATTTTTTTTCTTTTTGGTCGGTTGTGGGGCTTGAATTCTGGGCCTGAGCGTTGTCTCAGCTCTTCAGCTCAAGGCGAGCGCTCTACCACTTGAGCTACAGTGCCACTTCCAGTTTTTCTGGTGGTTTATTGGAGATAGGAGTCTCACGGTCTCTCCTGCCCCGGCTGGCTTTGAACTGCGATCCTCAGATATCAGCCTCCTGAGTAGCTAGGATTACAGGCGTGAGCCACCGGCGCCCGGCTTGTTGGATATTTTTTTTAAGGCTTCCACCTTTCATTCTTCCTTTTATTTGTTCGTTTGTTCATTCTTTTGTGCTGGTCCCGGGGCTTGAACTCGGGGCCTAGGTGCTGTCCTTGAGCTTTTTTGCTCACCGCTAGTGTTCTGTCACTTGAGTTCCACTTCTGGCTTTTTGGTTAATTGGAGATAAGAGTCTCACAGACTTTCCTTCCCAGGCTGGCTTCCAACTATCATCCTAAGATCTCAGCCTCCTTGAGTAGCTACAATTATGGGCATGAGCCACTGGCGCCTGGGCTCCTCCACCTTTCTTAAAACTTGCCATTTATTTCTGTGATAGAATGCTTAGTTTAATAAGTTAAGTGGGCTCCCTTGCCCCATCTGCTCCCAACAGAGGATTATGCTTTTTATCCCCTCCACCTTTCTTCTCTCCTCCCTTCCCTTTCCTTGCCCTTTAGCCTCTTTTCCAAGACAGATCAAGTAGATTGTTTCTTGCCCTTATATGTTGTTTCAGCTGGATTTTATAAACAATCCACCCGCGCATACAAATGGTGGCAGTAGAGTACATCTGTATCTGTGTATGTGTGCGCATTTATCACCCGTTGACTGCACACACTGTTCTTTGTGGACCTAATACTTAGGACATTATACTGCTGTTTTGTTCTTTTCGCTCCTCTGTGTTCCCCACCCTGCTTGGCTCTGTTTGTCCTGCAGAAAGGCTGGCTGACCCCAAATAGTGTCTTTTTCTCTGCTCAAACTTTACAGGAGAAGACCTCTGAACAGATCACAAATTTTACACGAACTTTTTCCTGTTTTTAACCATCTGCCGTTTCCAAAAGATGCCTCCTTAAAAAAGTGCTTCCGTCTCCACCCAGAGCCTGTTGTGGGAAGTAAGGTAGGACATTTTTTTAAGAGGACCTGGATCTAGGATTTTCCTCATTTGGGACCTGGACTGATGTTATAGTCAAATCCTTCCCTGCACATCAATTTAGGAAGTGGGCAGAGCAGTGCCCACAGTCTGAAGTTCTCCCCTCCTGCTGGTAACCAGGAGACTTGGTGCCAGGTTACGGAAGCAGTTTCCCAGAAAGTCTCCTTACCATACCAGATCTGTTTCCTGTCCTGTCCGTAACACCTGGGGCAAGCTACTTTTCTGTATTCAAGGGAGTGGAATCTTAAAAGGTGAAGGGACTTGAATAGGCAGTTAGCCTGACTTCTCCATCTCAAATTAAAAAGTAGATGAGGGGTCTGGGAAGGTGGCTCAGTGGTAGAGTGCTTGCCTTGCATGCATGAGGCTCTGGGTTCAATTCCTCAGCACCACATAAGCAAAAAGAAAAAAGCCAGAAGTGGCGCTGTGGCTCAAGTGGCAGAGCGTTAGCCTTGAGCTGAAGAGTTGACGGACAGCATCCAAGCCTAGAGTTCAGGCCCCACGACCGTACCCAAAATAAATAAATAAATAAAATAAAAAGTAGATGAGCCCTAATAAATAGTACGTAACTGAATAGTCCAACTTCTTCATTCTTTTTTTTGGCCAGTCCTGGGGCTTGACCTCAAGGCCTGAGCACTTTCCCTGAGTCTCCCTGTGCTCAAGGCTAGCACCCTACCAATTGAGCCACAGTGACACTTCCAGCTTTATGTGTTCATATGGTATTGAGTTTATATGGTATTGAATCAAACTCAGGGTCAGGGCTTCATACATGGTAGGCAAGCACTCTAAGCCACTAAGGCACATTCCTAGCCTAACTTTTTCATTCTTTAAAATATAATTTTAGCCGGGCGCTGGTGGCTCATACCTGTAATCCTAGCTACTCAGGAAGCTGAGATCTGAGAATCACAGTTCAAAGCCAGCCAAGCAGGAAAGTCTGTGAGACTCCTATCTCCAATTAACCATGAGAAAAATAGAAGTGGAACTCTCTATGGCTCTAACTAGTAGTGCTAGACTTGAGCAAAAAAGCTCAGGGACAGCCCCCTGGGCCTTGAGTTCAAGCCCCACAACCAACCAACAACAACAACAACAAAAATATTTATATATATATTATATGTTTATATTATTAAGGTGTACAGAGGGGTTACCATTTCATAAGTCAGGTAATGAATACATTTCTTTTTTGAACAATGTCACCCCTTCCTTCGCTTTCCTCCAGATTGACTCCTCATTTTGTACATAGGGAAATATAACCCTAGAGAGACGAAATTATTTCCCCAAGGACACAGAGTAGGGCTAATAGGAATCCCCAGCCCCGCTTCAGGTGCAGGGCTTGCAAGTCAAGGTTTGCAGGCGTAGAAGACTTGCTGGGCACAGAGGAGGCAGGCAGCCTGGCTGAGGTACAAAGACTCACTGGTCCCTGTCACTGGTTGCAGGCCAGTAGACTTGGAGAAGCTGTTCTGTATTTGCTTTTTTATTGTTTCGTTTTTTTCTCTCATTGTTTTGCTCATTTCTGTAATTTTTTTGCGGTGGGGGGGGGGGGCGGTGTCCAGTCATGGGGCCTGAACTCTGGGCCTGGGCACTGACCCTCAGCTCTTCAGCTCAAGTCTAGCGCTCTACCACTTGAGCCACAGCGCCACTTCCGGCTTTTTTCTTTTGCTTATGTGGTGCTGAGGAATTGAACCCAGGGCCTCATGCTTGCAAGGCAAGTGCTCTACCACTGAGCCAACTTCCCAGCCCTGGTTCTCATTTCTGAGGAAGATTTTTGAACCTTGACTGGTTTGAAAGAATTGGATGAATTTCTTTTGTACAAAAAAAAAAATTGAATTTCCCAATCTGTGATCCTCTACCAACTCTGGGTTGTGTCTTCAACCTCCTGATGCTGTTATTTGGCTCCAAATTTGCTGAATCGTGTTGTAGGAATTCAAAAGCCTATAAAAACAATCACTTTGTCTAGGAGTAAGATCTCCTGTCTGCCAACAGTCGGGAGGTGCTGGGCTCTGGCTGTGTCTGGCTAGAACTCAGGGCCCCAATAGGATTTCATCTTCATAATTATGATATAATTCTGGGCGAGGGCCTTCATCTTTATCTTAGTTTTCCCACATGAATATTGAAGTTAATGTCCCCAGCCTACTTAACACCAAGGAACCAAGCCAAAGGAGTGAACGCAGTTACCGAAGTGCTTATCAAAGTCATCTTGTTATGGTTCTGAAGGATGTTTGGAGAAGGGGAGTGGCCCCAAAGACACAATCCTGAGAGTCTGGTTTCTGAGAGCAGCTGTCTCCCCACCCTGGCCCATGCTCTCCTTTCTCCACCCTGCTGTCTATCCACCGCCCCATCGTTAGGCCTTAGCATCAAGTGTGTGGGCCCAGCACCACGAGGCGGCCTAGTAGCAGAAGACAAGCAGTGGGGCTTCTATCATTAAACGGCACTGGGGGAAGAGCCCCAGTGTTGCCAAGGGCTGCCCTGAAATTGTCTCTGTCTTTGCCCCCTGGGTGGGAAAGCATGACCCTGTTCCCCTCTGGCCTAAAAAAGGGGACAGAGCACTTGGTCTTGGTCTTCTGGGGTTTTTTTACAGGACTGTGCCATCAAGGCTTCTGCCAGTCTTAGTATCCGTCAGCTGCAGGCTGGCTCCATGGACTAGGTCACCTCCTTTCACCATGGTAACCAGTGAAATGACTCTTGGTATTGCCAGAATCATGGCCAGTGTTCGGCACGGGGGAAGATGAAGCCAAAACCTAAGTCTTGAAAGACCTAGAGTGGAGAAAAAAAGATGAACTCAGCCCAGGTAGTCGAGACGTGGGACCTCTGCTTTGTAGCGCCAGGGCCTCTTGAGTCAAGAGCCAGGAGGTGATGGAGGAGAGAGGAGTGGAGGGGAAGGAGGCCCTAGGGGTTTTCTTGCATGGTGGATCTGGGAAGAAGGCCTGAGCAAGGCCCCTCTCTCCCTTTGTCCCTGCTCCCTGCTCCTGACGGCATTTGCTTGTGTGCACATTCTGCTTGTCCTTTTTTTTTTTTTTTGGGTTCAGTCGTGGGGCCTGAACTCTGGGCCTGGGCGCTGTCCCTCAGCTCTTCAGCTCAAGGCTAGTGCTCTACCACTTGAGCCACAGCGCCACTTCCGGCTTTTTTCTTTTTGCTTATGTGGTGCTGAGGAATCGAACCCAGGGCCTCAGGCATGCAAGGCAAGCACTCTACCACTGAGCCACCCTCCCAGCCCCTGCTTGTCCTTTTTGACCTCAGCATCAGAGGCCAAGCCTACTGTGACTGGTTTGCATTAGTAAGATGGTATAGATATGCCAGGGTGTAAACTTGAGCTTGCTGCCACATAACAAATGATATTCCAGGGAGAGTGCTCATCAGGTATGCAAACCATCTGTTTATCTAAATTCTGGGTCAAACCAGATCCTGGGAAGATTATATACTTAAATCACAGGTGTTGGCCTCTACTAAGACTTAGCACTTGGTGAAATTCGGGGAGAGGGATAGCTGAGGGTAGAACAGGTATATTCCCCAGAAGATGAGGAAATTGCAGTGGAGTTCCTGTTGGCCGGCTTGAAATAGTTGCGGATGATGAAGTTCATCAGTATCTGCTCTTGGGTTTTCACTGATGAAGCTGCCCAGTAAATGACCGTCTCTTTAGAGGAATACATGGAAGAAACAGATTTTTTTACCCTAGTCAGTATCGGGAGATGCCATGTTTAGGAGAAACTTGTTTGTTATATCTTTTGGGCCTTATTATGAATTTTGTTATTGGTTCAGTTTTTCTTTGTTGAGACTGGGAGGAAATTGGCGCTGTGTGAGGATTGTTGTATACTAATGGCCCAAGTTTTACTTCTGTTTTCTTTTCCTTCCTTCCCCTCGTTCTTTCTTCCAGATGCATAAGGTGCATGACTTATTTACTCTTGGCAGCGGAGAGGCCATGTTGCAGCTCATCCCTCCCTTCCAGTGTCGAAGACACTGTCAGACCGTGGCCATGCCCATAGAGTCCGGGGACATTGGTATGTAGGCTCCCTGGAGGGCAGGGTCAGCCGAGGTCTCCCTCTTGTTTTTAACTTGGGAAATATTCTTTTGTGTGTGTGTGTGTATGGGTGCTGGTCCTGGGGCTTGAACTCAGAGCCTGGGCACTGTCCCTGAGTTTCTTTTGCTCAAAGCTAGCACTCTACCACTTGAGCCACAGCGCTACTTCTGGCTTTTTCTGTTTATGTGGTACTGAGAAATCGAACTCAGGGCTTCATGCATGCTTGGCAAGCACTCTACCACTGAGACACCTTCCCAGCCTTTAACTAGGGAAATATTCTTTTTTTTTTTTTTGTCGGTGGTGGGGCTTGAACTCTGGGCCTGGGCGCTGTCCCTCAGCTCTTCAGCTCAAGGCAAGCACTCTACCGCTTGAGCCACAGCACAACTTCTGGTTTTCTAGTGGTTTTTATTGGAGATAAGAGTCTCACGGACTTTCCTGCCCAGGTTGGCTTTGAACCGTGATCCTCAGATCTCAGCCTCCTGAGTAGCTAGGATTACAGGGTTGAGCCACTGGCGCCCTAGCTACTCTAGAAGCTGAGATCCAGAGGACTGTAGTTCAAAGCCAACCCTGGCAAAAAAAATTCTGTGAGACACCATCTTTAGCTAGCCAGCAAAATGCCAGCAATGTGAGGTATGGCTCAAATGGTAGAGCACCAGCCTTGAGTGAAAAGCCATGTAAGAGCTCAAGGCCCCGAGTTCAAGCCCCAGTTACTGCAACAACAACAAAAGGGTTTTGCAGATAAAAGAGTACAAAGCCTTATGTAGGGGGAAGGGTTGCACAGGGAAGGGTTCCCTCCCATGGGGCTCCCACAACCAGGTCACAGCCTCACACAGTGACTCACCCCTGACTCGAGCTCCATGTTTTTCCGGCTGAAAATCAGCTTGGCCCTCATTTCTCAAAAGATGACCCCAGAGGGCAGCAGATTTGCATTAACACTGTCAGTTGCAATCACTTGGACAGCATGCTCCTGGCAGAAGCAAGCATACCTGTAGCGTCACCACTGGCCACTCTGTTTTCTGCTCCACCACCCAGGTGAGGCCTCCATGGGGCCCATTCAGAAGACCCCAGATTCCTCCAATCTTCTCACCTCATTTAGGGGTGTGGAACAGACTGCAAACTGTGCTAAGTTTTGTTTTGTTTTTGTTTTTGTTTTTTGTCAGTTGTGGGGCTTGAACTCCGGGCCTGGATGCTGTCCCTGAGCCTCTTTGTATTCAAGGCTAGCACTCTTACCACTTGAGCCACAGCACCACTTCTGGTTTCTGAGCCAGTAACTGGAGATAAGAATCTCATGGGGACTTGCTGCCCTGGCTGGCTTCAAACTGCGATCTTCAGATTTCAGCCTCCTGAGTAGCTAGGATTACAGGCATGAGCCACTGGTGCCCAGCTGTGCTAAATATTAATCCAAGTTATATAACCTTGATTTCAATTCAGAAATGGAAAATAAAAACAATGTAACAATCAAGTATTAACTAATAATGGAGCACAGCTGGCTGGCCCTTAGGAAACTCCTATAAAAAAGAAAATTCTTGAGTCAAAATCGTGCTGAACTGCTTGCCTGCAATGGAGTGACCCTTACTCTAAGGATGACCACTGCAGAAGTCTACGCTTGTGTTGGGGTTTAGAGCTTATGGTTGAGCTGCCTAGTAGTTTAGACAACTGTAGAAACACACATGACTTATTCACATCCCAGATTCCCCACTCCCACACACATTCAGAATGGCATCTGTAGATTTAAAAAGAATTCAAAGCTGTTGGGCAGTGATTGAAGAAAACTCTTGAGTATCAAACTGCATAGACCTCAGTACCCTCAAATGTGATTGGCTGGTGTATTGACCAGAAAGAAAGGAGTCCTATGGTTGGTGGCATCTTAAACGGGCCAGCCATGACAGGCATAGAGAAGGGATGGAGGGCCGAAGAGGAGAGGAGCACAGGCCTGGGAAGATGGAGGAGAGAGCAGTGGGCACCCAAAGCCCTCACAGGATCAAAAGTAATTCAAGGGGGCTGGGAAGGTGGCTCAGTGGTAGAGCGCTTGCCTTGCATGCGTGAGGCCCTGGGTTCAATCCCTCAGCACCACATAAGCAGAAAAAGCCAGAAGTGGCACTGAGTCTCAAGTGGTAAAACACTAGCCTTGAGCTGAAGAGCTGAGGGACAGCGCCCAGGTCCAGAGTTCAAGTCCCACAACCGGACCCAAAAAAAGGTAATTCAAGAAGAAGAGAGGGATTAGACTTAGACCCTGACGGTGAAGAATAGCTCAGTGGCTCAGGCAGTGCCAGTGCCAGTCCTTCCGGGTCCTTAGAAGGCACTGTAGCAAGCCAGTTCTGTGACAAGGTACTCAGGCCCAGTGGAGGGGGGAGGGAGGGATTACAGATCACCAGAAAAACTTAGACTGCCATGTTTTTTTTTTTGTTTTGTTTTGTTTTTTTTTTTGGGGGGGGTTTGGTCATGGGGCCTGAACTCTGGGCCTGGGCGCTGTCCCTCAGCTCTTCAGCTCAAGGCTAGCGCTCTACCACTTGAGCCACAGCGCCACTTCCGGCTTTTTTCTTTTTGCTTATGTGGTGCTGAGGAATTGAACCCAGGACCTCAGGCATGCAAGGCAAGCGCTCTACCACTGAGCCACCTTTCCAGCCCCTAGACTGCCATGTTTTTAAGGATGACACAGGTCCATTACAGCATCTGCTGTCACTATACTGAACAGGGACCTGCTTTCGGTGACCTTGAACCACCAAGTAAAGGTTGAATGCTGTTTGCTGCTCTTGGTGTAAAGATGGATGAGGAAGCCAGGCATGGTGGCCTGAGCCTGTCTGTGATCCTAACTACTTGGGAGGTTTGAAGCCAGTTGGGAGTGGGTGATTTACAAGGCTCCATCTCAACCAAAGGCAGGGCACAGTGGTGTATGCCTGTTGTTCCAGCCACAAGGAAACACAATGTTTCATGTGCCTGTCATCCCAAAGACCCCAGGAAAGCCCAATAGGAGGATGGTAGTCTAGATTGATTGAGCAAAAAGCAAGACCCTACCTTGAAAACAACTGGCATTAAAAGAGGCTGGATGGGGCTGGGAAGGTGGCTCAGTGGTAGAGTGCTTGCCTTGCATGCATGAGGCTCCGGGTTTGATTTCTCAGGACCACATAAACAGAAACCACCGGAATTGGTATTATGGCTCAAGTGGTAGAGTGCTAGCCTTGAGCAAAAAGAGGCTAAAGGACAGTGCCCAGGCCAAGTTCAAGCCCAGGACTGGCAAAAAAAGAGGCTGGAGATGTGGCTTTAGTAATAGAGCACCTGCCTAGCAAGATATAGGCCCTGAGTTCAGTCCCACCTGAGTTCAATCCCAGTATTACAAATTAAAAAAAAAAAAAAAAAGTGGGTGGGGCCAACTCTACAAATTTTTCACTAAGAGATTTTTTTTTCCAGTCTTGAGATTTAAACTCGGGCCCTGAGCCTCTCTGTGCTTATGGCTAGCACTATCACTTGAGCCACAGTACCATGGCTTTTTCTGAGTAGTTTATTAGAGATAAGAGTCTCACAGACTTTCCTTCCTGAGTTAGCTTTGAACCCCGATCCTCAGATCTCAGTCTCCTGAGTATCTAGAATGACAGGCCTGAGCCACCGGTGCCCGGCTGAGATTTTTTTTTTTTTAACAACTATGGCTGTGTTGTGGTTAAAAGAAAGCCTCGCCGGGTGTCGGTGGCTCACGCCTGTCATCCCAGATACTAAGGGGACGGAGATCTGAGGATCCTGATTCAAAGCCAGCACGGGCAGGAACATCCATGAGACCCTTATCTCCAATGAACCACCAGAAAACCAGAAGTGGCGCTGTGGCTCAAGTGGTAGAGCACTAGCCTTGAGCTGAAGAGCTCAGGGACAGCGCCCAAGGCCAGAGTTCAAAAAAAAAAAAAAAATAAGCTTGAGGTCATGAGATCAAACCAGGCATGGCAGTGCACACCTGTAATCCCAACACTCAAGGTGGCAGAGGCAAGAGGATCCCAAGTTTGAGGCCCGTCTGGGCTACATAGGCCCTATTTTGAAAGACATGTGAGCATGCACGCATGCATGTGTGCTCACGTACACACACACACAAAGCTGGAGATCAGGCTGAGAACTGGTAGCCAGCAGTGCCTTCCTGGGTATCTGGCCTTTGAGATCTGTAGCATGTGATGGAGCTGCTGGGGGTGGGGGGCATTTGGGTTCAGAGTGGAGCCTGCTGGACCTGTTGGATGTCCGGTTAGACAGCACTGTCATAAGGAGGGATTCTTACACTGTGAAGAGCGGAGACATCCCCACAGCACGATTTGCCTACGGGTCTGTGGTGTCCCAGGGCTCTGCCTGTCCTGCCCTGCTCCTCACCTGCTTCCCATTGCTGTTTCCTCTCAAGGCTACGCCAGCGCCCCACACTGGAAGGCCTACATTGTAGCCAGAGGGACGCAGCCTTTGGTCATCTGTGATGGAACCACTCTCTCAGCACCATAGGAAACAGAACTGTAGGAGCAGCTTAGCGTGCTGACCACCAGGTTGAAAGGGAAGAAATGAAAAGGAAGACCGAGCCACGTTCCAGGGGCTGGTTCCTCAGCTCCCGCCCTTGGCATGCATGTGCCCGCCAGCTGCTCCTCCCCCAGATGGCTCAAGAAGGAGCCTGGCTGCATCACTGGGGCTCTGCCAGCATCTGTCTGGGGCTCATCTAGCCTCTGGATGCTGTGGCCTGAGTTTGCCCCACTGGCAGGAAATCTACGCGGCGCCCTCCTCCACTGGGAAGGCGGTGGAGGTGGCGGCCGGTGGATCCTGGCATACAGCTGCCCCTTTGCAAATGGACCTGATCTTTTCTGTCTGCCCCGTACCCCGATGGAAATCCATGGCCAAGGAAGTCACAGCACTTTGCCAAGCAGAGTGGAATTGAGAACAGAAGATCAAATAACTTGAATTGCAGTTAGATATGTGAGGCCCTGGGTTCCAGCACTGCAAAGTGCAAACCCAAAGTTTACCAAACCCTCCTTCCTAGCGTCCCAGGCTGGAGTGTGAGTATAATGTTAATATAATTCCGAAGCACACACTTCTCTCCAGGTTTGTAACACCCCAGCTCTGCCCCCATCTAAATGTGTTCCCAGAACCTGGGCTGGGCCGGAGCCCCCACTGCTCAGGCAGCAGCCCTCGTCCGCCCCTCACCTACTTTGTCTTCAGAGGGAGGCGAGCTCGTGCTGGCTGGGGGAGAGGGCCCTGCCTGGGTTGGATCACAGGCCTGACTGTACGGGAGGCTGTCTCGCAGGTGTGTGCAAGCTGCTGTCGTAATGTGGCTGGCAGAAGAGCTTCAGACCCAGCAGGGCTGTGTCACTCACCATAATTGGTGATCCTCCGTCCTCAAAAGGCTTCCCCTTTGTCCTGGGGGACAGAGTAAGCTGTTATTTTTGTAGTGACATAAAGCTGTGCTCCGATTGGCTGGCTCTCTCTGCTCATTGTTTGCCCCCAGTGCAGTGGGCATGTGTAATGAATCCACATGCTAACTATTCAAGTCTCCCACCCTTACTAGTCTTACTAGTCCCACCCTTACTGCTAGTGGCCATCCGTGGCCACTGGTCACGTCTCCTAAAGAGAAAACAAGCCACTCTGGCCTCTGCAGCAGAAATCACAAGGAGAGAGAAAGAGTGCGTGTGTGTGTGTGTGTGTGTGTGTGTGTGTGTGTGTGTGTGTGTGAAGCCACTGGTGACAGAGGGCGCTGTGACCCTTGTGTGTCCCTCTTCCCAGCCCTCTTTCCCTAGGTATCTTGTGGGGGCCATTGGGCCCTAAATGGCCCGTGTGTGGGTTTGTAAAGGACAGCAGAGGTCACTGCTCGGAGCAGAAACACTCAGAGCCTCCTCTGTGGGCTTAAATGAAACTCAGCTGATTGTACCTGAGGGAATTTTTCCTTAAAAGAACCAGCCCCTTGTGTGGCCGAGTAGGGAAAAATAAAACCTTTGTACATATAAAAGTCATGCCGCTAAGCACTCCTGCTTTGAGGTCTTAAGTCAGAGGATCACTTCGAGGCCAGCCTTGTGCAAAGGCTCAGAACATCTGTAGCGTTCCCCCGGCACACAGGCAGGTCAGCAATCAGATTCCAGAGCCCTGCAGAGCTGGCTTCTCATACATCCCATGCAGGAACAGAAGAGACTAAGCTGGGGCAAAGCTGCTGTTCTGAGGACCGAGCTCTGCTTGGGTTTTGGTGAACTACCTTGTGTCCTCCCATTTTACTTCTGCCTTGGACATTTTACATATCCACATAATAGTCATGAACATGAGGAAACCTTCACATATATGAGCCTTGGGAGGGTCTAGCTGAAGCTTTGTATAGATTCTATTCATGAATGCAGACTTGTGTTGAAAGAGATTCTCAGCTGGGCTTTGGTGGCTCATGCCTGTAATCCCAGTTACTCAGGAAGCCGAGATCTGAGGATCACTGTTAAAATCCAGCCTGGGCAGGAGAGTCCGTGAGACTCAAACGGAAGTGGCACTGTGGCTCAAGTGGTAGAGCACTAGCCTTGAGCTGAAGAGCCGAGGGACAGCACCCAGGCCCAGAGTTCAAGCCCCATGACTGACCAATTAAAAAAAAAAAAAGATTCTCCCTGGAGAGGGTTTTCTGCTCTTAATTACTGAAGTCTAGAAGTAACACAGTCTTTTCTCATGGTGGTTCTGATGGGCAGAATCTCCTATCAGTCTTGTAGCAATGGCCAAGGCCTGCCAGCAACTTTCCTTATTGTACTTGGCCTTTGTGTCAGGAGAGAGCTAGCACTTGATCAGTAGACAGAAGGAGCCAAAGGCCTGTACACCCGGGAAAGGAAAGAGGTGTTGGTGCTGAGGACACAGTGATAGAGGTATTGCAGGACAGCCTAACCAGCCACTGCCAGCAAGCCACAGGGACACAGTGATAGAGGTATTGCAGGACCACCTAACCAGCCACTGCCAGCAAGCCACAGGGACCCACTCCCAAGCTGGTAAAGCGGTGACCAGGAGGTGGCATGGTGGTGGACCACATGTGGCTTGGGCCCACCTTGAGGCCACCGGCAGACAATCGCGTCTTCAGATGTGCTCCTGGGGAGGCAGGCTGCTCCGCTCCGGCGTCCGCTGGAGCAGGTGTGTGCAAGTGTCGGATGTGTGACACAGCTGTCCTGCATGTGGAAAGCAGAGTTCGTCCTCACCCCACACTCAATCTCAGTAGGAAAGGAAGGCCCATGGTAGTACGGCTTTATGAGAGCAGACATGCACCTAAGCCGTCAGTGCAATGGGCATGCTCAGGCTGTCTCAGAGAAATGAATGGTAAGTTCACCCCAGACCGCTTTAGCTTCCAGAGGCCCCCATAGGTGGTTCCCCTCCCCCCACGTTCCCCCGTAGATAGGTATCACTAGGAAGCTGAGGTGTAGAGCAAGAAACTAGAGTTGGGAGGTAAGCAGGCCGTGGTACCTGGCCCAGGAGCAGAACCATGGGTGCCATTGTGTGTGGGGGGGGAGTAGCACCCCAATGGGGTGGGAGAACCAGGCAGGAGGGTCCACAAGCCGGGGACTTTGCAGGACTTGTTTTCAAGACTCTGGACAGAAATGGAGAGGAATTTTAGCCATATGATTTTCATCCAAGTCCTCCCACTGTCCCCTCCCCGTCGGAAGGCGCGATGAGTGTGAGTGGAGCTGCGCACCACTGTGTCCCCTCCGCTTTCCCGTCACCACGGTTCCAGATGTGGGCCAGGGAGGGGCTCTGCCCAATTCCAGTGGTGGGTCCCCTTGGAGTTACATCACTTGTTTTTCACTTCTCAAGTTTTCTGTTCCCTTCTTCCAAAAATCTAGCAGAGGCTTCTCCGTGTAGGGGCAATTATTTTAAAATCAAATCACAAATTCCTTCAACCACAGGTGCTGACCTCAGTCATTTTAATACCGTCTGGAATGAGTTAGCTCATTCCCCAGTCACTTCCATGATGAATGTGCAAATCCTAAAAGCTTCTTGGCCAGAGGGGCAGCTGGGCTGTAGGATCTGGGAAGGGACCGCTGCAGTTCTGTGTGCGTGGAGGGTTGGTTTTGTCTCCCTCTGGGGAGGCCCCTGGGGGCCAAGGGAGATGTGTGTGTGTGTGTGTGTGTGTGTGTGTGTGTGTGTGTGTGTGTGTGTGTTGTGAGGCTTGAACTCAGGGCCTGGGTGCTGTCCCTGAGCTCTTTCATGCAAGGCTAGCGCTCCACCACTTTGAGCCACAGCTCCACTTCCAGTTCATTGGAGATAAGAGTCTCACAATTTTCCTGCCTGGGCTGGCTTTGGACGGTGATCCTCAGATCTCAGCCTCCTGAGTAGCTAGGATGACAGGCGGGAGCCACCGGCACCTGGCTGTGTTTTAGACTTAAACTCCTGTGGTTGTGGTGGAGCACACATTGCACAAAAACTGGGAGAGGGAAGAGACAGGCTGAGATGTGTTTCCACCATGTCCTTCAGGCCAAGATGGTGCCTGGGTTTGGGACTTCAGCCAATGTGGGTCAGGTGGGGAGATGAGGAAGGGGAGGGCACCCTCGGACACAACCCTGAAGCCGACAAAAAAGGCGAACTCTGGGAACCAGAATGTGTCTAGTTCCCAGCAGCCTTGCATTCCTGTCCTCCTCACTCCAGACTCCAGCCCGCCGCAGCTTCTTCCACCAAAGCACATTAGCATGATGGACAGACGCTCTCCCGGGCGCTGTGTGGCGTAGGTGCTGGCCTGCGGGGGAAACCCTCTGGCCAGCTTGTGTGCTGTCCAGGCCCCTCTGTGTCTGGAGTCCCTGCCCTGCATAATTTAAGCATTAGAACGAACTCCATCTGTCATTTCCCCCTCTCTGGAGACTGGGAAATGTCCAGCCTTTTTTTTTTCCAGACAAAGGACTGTTACATAACCACAGAGGCCTGGGTCTGCGGTGGGGCTGGGCGGAGCCCCCCCTGCCTTCAGCAGCGCCTGTCAGTCCGTCCACAGCTGCCAGCACCACACAGAGGATGGAAGCCTGCTAAGATGCGCTTGAGTTTCAAGCAGAACTTGGGGAGCTGCACATGTGCTGGACTAGGCGGGTGTGTTTACTCACAGTGCAGCCAGCTACAGCGCTGTGAACACTAAAGACAAACGCTGGACTCTCCATGAGGATTGGTGGCAGGACCCACGGATCGCTGAGCTCCAGAGGGCCCGTCTCATCACGGGCAGCTCTCCTCCCCACTTCCCTCCTTCTCTCCTGTGGAACAGCCACAGAAGCCCACAGTAAGGGAAGGAAAGACTAGAGAGATAAGGGCAAGGCAGGGGCTCAGCTCCTCCCTGCCATTAATGAGCCGGAGCCTGGGCCAGGGCAGAGGAAGCAGGCTGGGTCATGTCCTGAGTGGAAGGACCACAAGGTCTGGGTCAGCGGGGGGAGCAGCCTCTTGCCCAGCTGTACAGAATGACCACAGTAACTCAGTGTGCTGCAAACGTGCAAGGCGTTTGCCAGGCAGAGAATGTGTGTTCATGGTTTACACCGCGTGAGTTTTTACTTTAAAAAAATGTATTACAAAGGTGATGTACAGAGGGGTTACAATCACGCAGGCAGGAAAAGAGTTCATTTCTGTTTCGTACAATGTCACCTGAAGGTTTTTACTTGCTGCAATTAGAAGTGCTCATGTTGGTTGCTAAGAACTTCCCTGCTCTGGGTGTCATTTGCTCTTCCATTTTCTCCTTTCCATGTGTGTGTGTGTGGGGGGGGGGTTATAGGGTTTGAACTCAGGGGCCTGGGCCTGGCCACCATCTCTGAGCTTTTGCACTCCAGGCTAAGTCTACCACTCTGAGCCACAGCACCACTTCTGGTTTTCTGGTGTTTAATTGGAGTGAGAGTCTCATGGACTTTCCACCTGGGCTGGCTTTGAACTGTGATCCTCAGATCTCAGACTCTTGAGTAGCTAGGATTACAGGTGTGAGCCACCAGCAGCCAGCAGCCTTCCCCTCCCTCTCACCTCCCTTCCCCCCCCCCACCTTTTTTTCCCAGTCCTGGGGCTTGAACTCAGGGCCTGGGCACTGTCCTTGAGCTTCTTTTGCTCAAGACTAGCACTCTACCACTTGATCCACAGTGCCACTTTCAGCTTTTTCTGTGTATGTGGTACTGAGGAGTTGAACCCAGGGCTTTGTGCATGCTAGGCAAGCACTCTACCACTGAGCCACCTTCCCAGCCCCAGCACCCTCTCTTTTCCTCTTCTTTTTTTTTTGGGGGGGTCCGGTCATGGGACCTGAACTCTGGGCCTGGGCGCTGTCCCCCAGCTCTTCAGCTCAAGGCTAGTGCTCTACCACTTGAGCCACAGCGCCACTTCCGGCTTTTTTTTTCTTTTTGCATATGTGGTGCTGAGGAATCAAACCCAGGGCCTCAGGCATGCAAGGCAAGCGCTCTACCACTGAGCCACCTTCCCAGCCCCAGCACCCTCTCTTTTCCTCTTCTAACACATGCTGCTCACGAGCCCAGCTCCCAAAGAGCCCAGGCTCTGCCCTGTGCCTCTCACCAGAGATAACCTGCCTCCGACAGGCACTGCATTTTCTAATGTTCTGCCCTGGTGCATTCACAGCCTCCACCCTCACTCTGCCTTCGTCCATGGTGGCTTCTGACCTCCTCTTCCTACCAGCTCTCAAATCTCAGTCTTCCTGCTAACACCCACCCCATCCATACACGGTGCCCAGAAATCAAATGAGACCCTAGATTCCTTTGTCCTTCTTACCAGCTGGCCACACAGGACTGTGTCCAGATATCCTCATAGTGGCGCCCCCCCCAGGCTCAGTGGAGGACTGCAGGCCCCTGTGGGCTCCCCGCCAGCTGCCACCAGATCACAGGCCAGTTACCAATGTGGGCTTGAGCTATTTTTTGTAGGTTCATAGTTATTTTGACAGTTTCTTTGACATAGTTTTATACAAATACATAAGTCCGATTACTTCCGACTGGCTTTTTTACCATCCTAGGGCTTGAACTCAAGGCCTGGGTACTGTCCCTGAGCTCTATTAAGCTCTACCACTTTGAGCCACAGCACCACCTCCAGTGCTGGAGCTGAGTCTGTGAGACTCACAGACTTTCCTGCCTGGGCTGGCTTTGAACCATGACCTTCAGATCTCAGCATCCGGAGTAGCTAGGACTACAGGTCTGAGTCACCAGTGCTCGGCTCATATCATCTATCATCTTTCCTTCCTTCCTACCTTCCTTCCTTTCTCTCTCTCTCTCTCTCTCTCTCTCTCTCTCTCTCTTTTTGGCCAGTCGTGGGGTCTGAACTCTGGGCCTGGACACTGTCCCTCAGCTCTTCAGCTCAAGGCTAGTGCTCTAGCCCTTGAGCCACAGCACCACTTCCGATTTTCTGGTAGTTAATTGGAGATAAGAGTCTCCCAGACTTTCCTGCCCAGGCTGGCTTTGAACCTTGATCCCCAGATCTCAGCCTCCTGAGTAGCTAGGAT